GCGAGACATTCTGGAATCAGAGTCTAAGCAGAATGCCTGAGGATAGAATTCACGGAACAGGTTTTTCGGCTCACCCTCAACACTTGCACTTATATGGTGAGACTAGATAATGCGCCAACTGGAATTGATATAGTTGAGGTCACAGTTTGAGTCATGATGGGAAATTACAACAGTCTTAGTTGAATTACGTTAGATAGTCATTTGTACTTAAGGAAGCTGGAGCTACAACAAAGTAGTTCTCCAGCTTCACAATCTTATAATATTATTACAGTATTCCTCTCGCAAACCCGCTTCCTTCTAGCCATAGTACTTCGTCGACTTCCCACCTCTCTAGTATTCACCACTTGACCATTTCATAGGAGGGCAAGACTGAACACCTGTACGCGGTGTCCTCTACGAACCTGGGAGTGAAATATTCTCCCAGAGCCAAGTTCAGTCAAATTTCGCAACATCAAAGAAGCTGGCCCACGAGGCAAAAATTCAAATTACTCCACCATGTCAATCTTTCACCCCCAAAGAGTCCGATTCTCAACTAAGCTTCATCAAGTCTACAAGTACGACCTAGTACATCCTCGTTTCAATGACCACACCTCTCGTCGACTTTCTCTGGCCTCAGCCGGCCACCAAATACACGCCCACGCCGATATTTATACCCGACGGAGGAAGCAAAGCGTGGAGCACAATTTTGGGAGATAGCTCTTTGGGACGGACGTGAGAGGGATCAGGATAAGTTCACAAGATGATGCAGAAGAGGGATACGTTTTCGACGGGCGTGGAATTTTGAATTTTGGCAAGAGTTTTACGAATTGAGCTTTGTGCGCGCCAAGACTTCGCTTGCGAGAGTGCAGCTGACACTATAAAAACAAGCAAACGATGGAAGGTGTTGTGGTCCGCCTCCTGGCGGTGTTCTCCGGTATAGTCTGAGTAGCCTGGGCACCTACTCCACTTGGGAAGGAGACACCTCAGATCATATTTCGCGCGGAGAAAAGTTGATGGATGACGGAGGCATGTCTGGATAACTCAGGGTTTTTGAGATGTTCCCCTGAGTGGGTATTCACGGATGAGGGTTGACTTGGGGTGAAGAAAAAGCCACCATAACTTCGCAGTGGTACTTGCAAATGAAATCCGAGGCATGAGTGCTCCTCTTGTAGATTGAGTCATCTTTTCTGTACTTTTCTTTGATATTGTGTCATAGCTAGATAGCTGCATACGCAATTAAAATCTGATGCAAAAAAAAAAAAAAAAAAAAAAAAAAAAAAAAAAAAGACCATTTCATACCCTCGGCGAACGGCGATCTCGATCTACCCTGTAGCACGTCGTAACACTGACAGAGAGATGGATGAGGAGGGCTTACCGTCAATGGAGGACGTGAAGGTCTTCAATGCATACACAAGGGTCTGGACGGAAATATCCCACAAGAAGTCTCCTATTGAGGAGAGGATGATGGCTTTCGAGGAAGTCGTCAAGAAAAGCCTCGCGGATCCCACTCGAAAAATCGCTCCAGCAGTGGTTTCGGGCGCGCCGCTACCTAGGATTTACGCGTCGGTCGTGGCTCCGCAATTGACGAACACGGCGGTATAAATAAGAGTCTACGGCGCTCAATACTTGCAGTTATAAGAGCCGCTATCGAAGGCACAACAATACATCCAAGGCGGAGGGCAAGACTGAACACCTGTACGCAGTGTCCTTTACGAACCTGGGAGTGAAATATCCTCCCAGAGCCAAGTTCAGTCAAATTTCGCAATACCAAAGAAGTTGGCCCACGAGGCAATGATTCAAATTACTCAACCACGTCGTTTTTTCGGTCCCAGAGAGATTAATCCCCATCGAAGCCTCATTAAGTCTACAAATACTACCTAGTACATCCTCATCCCAATGACCACACCTCTCTTCGACCTTCTCTGGTCTCAGTTGGCCACCAAATACGCGCCCACGCCGATATTTACACCCCACAGAGTAAGCAAAGTGTGGCGCACAAACCTGGGAGAAAGTTCTTTGGGATGGACGTGAGACGGATCAGGAAAATTTCACAAGATGATGCGAAGGAAGGATATAACCTCGAAGAGCGTGAGATTCCGAGTTTTGGCAAGGAGTTTTACTAATTATTAAGGAAATAATGACCCCTCAGTCATTGAGGTTGTAGAGCGCATTGATTCAAGTAACTACTGAAGTGAAACTAAGTACAGAATTTGTAGTCACGTGTGTACCAACAACGTGGCCTACTTTATAGCCCCAATTATTCTAAATTCTAACACTAATTGAGCTTTGTGCGCGCCAAGACTGCGCTTGTGAGAGTGCAGCTGACACTATAAACATAAGTCAACAATGGAAGGTGCCTGCGGAGACGCAAACCACCCGAACTACTTCTCTCTAGGCACCTCCTCCGGGCACTAACTGCAGCACGAACGGGTCACGGCAATTTTGCGGCATACAATCGCCATTTCAACAATCCATATGCTCCTATGGAGTGCTCTTGCAGGAAGGAAACTACTCCAACCCACTTCATCCACTGTGGCCACCACACACAACACACGCGTAGGCTCAGAAAGTCTATGTCCCACGTTGACTTTATCAAAAAAAAATTCGGGCCCAAATGCCACAAAAGCTCCAAAACATTTGCGGAGGAAACCGGCTGTTTTGATCGACGACCTGCTCACTCATCCACTGCTCTCAGCATGGATCAGATAAACTAGTTATTGCCACAATGCATGACACGAAAGGGAACAGGGCGAGAAGCGTCGTTTCTCTGAGGAAAGATTGTAGCTATTTAGATTTAAGGGGAAAGGAGCGATTTTTGATCTAGGAGTTGGAGTAGGGGGTGTCTGCATCGTAATTTACTTCCTACTATTTCTCTAGCGAGTCCAGCGGTTGGAATGAGTTGGGCATGTAAGCAGTGATCCCCACCGGCTCCGCCAGTCTTGTACCTACAGTGGGCCTAGAGCTTCAGCTTAAGAATTTAACATAATAAAAAAAAAGGAAGGTGCCGAGATCCGCCTCCTGGTGGTGTTCTCTGGTATAGTCTGAGTAGCCTGGGTACCTACTGCACTTGGGAAGGAGACGCCCAAGATCATATTTCGCGCGGAGAAAAGTTGAAAGATGATGGAGGCATGTCTGGATAACTCAGGGTTTCCGAGACGTTCCCCTGGGTGGGTATTCACGGATGAGGGTTGACTTGGGGTGAAGAAAAAGCCACCATAACTTCGCAGTGATACTCACAAATGAGATCCGAGGAATGATTGCTCTTCTTGTAGATTGAGTCATCTTTTCTGTACTTTTCTTTGATAATGTGTCATAGCTAGAAAGCGGCATACGCAATTAAACTCTGATGCGAAAAAAACACACACCTACAGAATTTATTTATATATTCATCTATTAGAAAATAATGACCGCTCTGTCACTGAGGTTTTTATTTTTAGTTCATGTTGTATTCAGCTTAAAAGCTATGACAATGTCACCAAGGTTGTAGAGCGCATGGATTCAAGTGACTACCGAAGTGAAACTAGGTACTGAATTTGCAGTCACGTGTATATCAACAACTTGGCCCACTTGATAGCCCCAATTATTCTATAAATTAACATCATCTGTATTTTTCCCATGACATATGAGACCAACATGATCCGGTCCACCCCCGACGCAAAAAGAACTGGATATGCAGAGTGCAGGCGACACTATAAAAACTGGCATGGTTGGATGGTGCGGTGGTACATCGTCTTGGCCGGTCTGCCAAGTAGAGTCTGGATAGCTTGGACACACATCCCACTTGAGACAGTAGATCGCTGGTTCAAATCCGGCAAAACCCAACCACATCTCTCGCGGCGCTGGTATGAATGAATGACGAAGGCATGCTTGGATAACCAATGGTTTTGAAATTCCCTTTGGTGGGTACTAACGGAGGAGGGTCGACTGTTTGTGTAAGCAAGCATACCTTACAGTGGTATTTGCGAATGAAATCCAGAGTATGAGTGTCTCTAACGTCAAAAGAGTCATCCCACATGTGTACGTAGCACCGGTCATGTGTCATAGCTAGATAGCTGAATACACATCAAATGACTTAAAAAAAAAAAAGAGCTAGATATGCTTCAGAAGCTTATCGGATTGCTTCTTTACGGCTACAATTGAAAACGTGATTGGCTAATAGTAAAACTTTGAAACTATCACATGATATGATCGTGGCTAACTTCATCAAATTGGTGCTAAGGAGATGTGCCGGCAGGTGAAGACGGTTCAGATCACAGGTCTTGTTTGGGACGTTGTGATCAATTTTGGCGATCTCATATTGTCAGAAGTCATTAATTGTCTACAGTGGCACAGCTTGAAGTTGAGGAAATATTTTTTGCTGGCTTATGTTCATTGTGCCAGCATGACATCCTTAACATCTGCAGACGCGGTTGAACATCTCGTATTCCATTGCATTATTGTTCAACCACGTACTGCTAGTCGATTCACTTGCCTCACAATAAAATTGTTTAACGAAGCAAGGTTTTAACTCACGTCAATTTACTTTTCGAGAATTTAAGGTTCCAACTTTGAGTTTGCCCACATGAGCTACGCATAGTTTACCCCCGTTTGAATACTTGTTCTATCAATAGAAAAATTTTACCGCTTAGCCACAGATATCTCTCAGGACTACCTGTCTATTTACGGTCCCTCAATGCACTTTATTCGCAGTAACTCCATGCAATATTCTTAAGCATCCTAGAAATGACCACTTGTTCCAAGAATTGCAGACTATTCTGATCAGCTCTGCCCGATGTCAACTCGCCCTCACGCCTTTAAAATTGTAAGCAAAAAATACAAAAATCAAAACTTAGACAGAGTATTGTGTGCTCCAAACCTCATCTAGAGGCAACCTGATATGTAATTTTAGTTGTAATAATGTCAAGCTCGGCACTAGAAGGGGTTTTCGCAATCTGGAAAGGCTGGACACAAATTGTAAGTCCAGGACCTGTTTCTACGGTCTTGGTGCGTTGGTACTAGAAAAGACAATGCAAAGTTCCATTTTAGTTTGAAGATTCAATCAGACTTGGTTTAACCTTTCTCGGGCCACCTTTAAGTGACTTAACTCGACTCATGAAGCCAGTGCTATTCTTACCAGGGATCTCACCATTGTTTTCCGTGTTAGATGGTTGATCAGGGATGCCATTGAACCGAGGAACATTGCCTGCGCTAGTTGTAGTCCTTGTCGATAATCTTTCAACGCCAGTATTTGATGCGCTACTTTCTGTCCTGGTAGTCAAGTAGCCATCTTTCCTAGAAGAATCATCCTGAAGAGAGTGGGGAGATCTCTCAGATTTTGATGGTCCGAGTATCCGTGCCTCAGGCGAAACGGCACCATCTGAGCTTCCAAGACGTGATACATACTCTCTTCGGGGGACATTGATGCCACGGAATTTCTGGGCAAGGGATTTAGACCTTGACAAATTATTTTCGGTTGGCAACGTCTCGCTTAATCTCCGCTGCATAGCAGTCTTGGAGGCAGGAGCTCCCTCGAGAAAGGTAGAAGTTCCAAGACCAAGGGTCTCTTCTCCATGGATAGGTTCCACTCTTGTAGTAGCGCTTACGACATTTGATTCTTGCCTGGTATGACTAAATGAAATGACTCCATTATTGTAAGGTTCAAATTCGTTGAAGCCGGTTCTACCCTTGGAGTAATCTTTGAATGCTTCTTCGTCTTTATTACCGAGAAATGTAGAATGATCAGGCCGAGCGTTGACAGGTCCACCTCCTCCAAGAACATTGTTCAATGAGTCTTTAGGGAAAGCTTGCATCGGAGCGCGCTTGCTACCGTGCCGGTTACGATGGGGGTTGCATGCATCAAATGGTCCATCGTGATGAAAGACTGCCCAAGTTAGTGTTAGCACTATTGATCATAGAAATTCTTACGCCCAGTTCCGTATATGCTAGTTACATCTAACTTATCGATAACATCTAACTTGTGGTTTGGTTTCTTAGACCGGGGATCTTTGGAATCACGCTCTTTATGCTTTTTTTCGCGACGGCGTCTTTCCATCCGTTTTTTTTCATCCTCAGGCGCAAGCTGTTTTTCTGAACGATTGGATTTCATATCAGAGCTTCGGTTAGGCCTACGTTCAGTTGGGTTTTGCGGCACGGCTGGGGGATCAGCAAAAACATTCAGTTCTCCCTTCGATGGTAGTTTAATCGTAGGATTATCGGCCGACTTTTGGGCACGTATAGCTTCCTCATTTGATCTGGTTTGGCGGTGTATAGAAGATTGAGGAGGGAGGCGGTTGCTTTTGCCTTGATTCTCGGGAGACGGCATTCTTCTCGACTTGCCAGTAGGTGCATCGTTTAACGAGAGATTATCCTGCCACACTTCTGTATCAGCTTGAGAGTAAGGACTTAGAGTGATTTGATGTGTTGTAAGTGTTGGATTTCATAGATTAGTGGTGAGACCAGCCTGTAATGACTCGCGTTGTTATTATTAATGATTGTATTCACGTACAAATATAGCTGCCGCTTCACCAGTAAGTGATGGTAGTGGCTTTGTTGAGCCAGGTAGAGATGGCATTTTGCGCGGTGATAATGGTGGTAAAAGAGAGGGTTGGCTAGATCTATCGAGAAAAGGATTGCGGGTCAAATTCTGCGAGGGAGATGATCCAGATGGACTTCGAGGAAAATCTGGAGATTGGGGCGATGCAGCTCTGTTCCTGAATGGATTGTTGGAAGAGAGCGAAGGTGTGGGTGACAGGTGATGGAGAAGGTTCGGGGAATCTGCATTGAAAAGGAGGAGGTTTTATCGTTAGCTAGGATTCATAATGATGAGTAATAGCTGTTTGCAACGAATGAATTGTTCGGTGGGTTGACACGGGAAATAGGGTAAGACGGGACAGGATGAGACAAACTCAAACGACGATTGGACAAGATGACACAAGGAAGAGTGAATGGGTTGCAATGTTGGAGTGTATCCGTCTGAACCTGCGAAACGGCTCCGGCGATGCATAGGCGTGCGAAGCGCGAGAAAAATCCCGACATGTCTCTGTGAGGAGAAGGGAAGGGGTGGTTTCTCCAAACAGTAATTGGAACACTAACCTGGACCACCTGATTGGGCGAGCGACATTTCTGACGACTTGTCAAGGAAGTTTGTCAGATTCCTTCAAAGACCAATTTGGCTAGAATGATGGAGGGATTTGTGGCGAGAGCTAAAAGAGGATGAGGGATGTCGCACACTGATTCCGGAGGGGTTGGGATAAATAATAGACTTCTGCCAGTCGATCGGCTGTGACGCGCGGACCTAGCACAAGTATGAGGGAGGAAGAAAGAGGGAAAGAGTATATCCCGACCTGCCAGAGCTGAAGATCGGATGGCACGACTACGAGGGCATGCGGATCAGAGTGATTTGCGACGATTTGAATGCGTATGAGGGGTTGTAAGTGTTGGATCAGAGAATACGAGAGTCGCGTGCTGTCAGATTTCGTCAGAAGGGGGGTAGCGAAATTGAAGTACCCTGTCTTGAGAAGGATCTGACTGATGGGGGCTGCAACAAACTGGTCGTGAATATCGTGGCTTGAAATTGAGAAAAGGATGATTATATTCTAGTTTAATTTCAAATGTGGCAGTTGTAGTGGCCTAAGCCGTCATTGTCTTCGATCTAAGGTAGCTATGACTTGATCGCTTGTAATGTTACGGCGAAATTCTTAGGATCAAGAAAGAAGGAGTTCGAGCAGGAAGTAGGGTAAGATGTATAGAAGAGGGGTGTGGAATAATGCTTAGAGGAAAAGAAAGGACGATGAGGGGACGCGTGTGTAAAAATAGGATGGGAAGCTAATGAAGTGGGAATAGGAAAGGAAGGAGCAAAGGAGAATAACAATAGTTGACAATGAGTGAGACAATGAGCGACAAGTGTATATCTTTGCTTCCCAGATTTCCTTTTTGGGACATTTCAACCCATAACCACGTAAGGTTCCAACCTGCTTCATGCGTAAGATTAGCGCATCTCGTGAGTGGGACCAACGAAAATGTAGAGTGATAATGAAAGTCATGATAGTAACAAATGATAGCTAAGAGGCCGTAATGTAAGTCTGTTCAAATTACAATTCTTTGGGTTTGCGCTCCACTCCTAAATATTCAGATAGGCAAATTACTCGTGGCGAAAAGGTTTTTTACGCCATACTTTGCTGTTGAACGGTCTTTCGACTTGATTATCAGCCGAAAGTTGCGCACGCTTGACCTCTTCGAAAGATCTAAGTGAGTGAACTCAATTCTCTAACAACGGGCCTCAATTGTCCAGAACTCACATTCACCCCTGGCCTGTTTATAATCAGATCAGATCTATTTTCTCATCCGATTGGCTCTGACGTCTTCCTGATAGTGTGACTGAATGGGCATGATGAGCGCTCGGACTTAAACTTAGAAAGGCCTCTCCCGAAAAGCCGAGAGTGGGCGCTCTGAGATGAGAAAAGTCTGCACAGAAACGCGGTTTTGCCAGCAGATAATTTTTAGCAGACGAAGATAAGTCGAATGAATGGAATGATGAAATAGCCTATCGATAGAATGTGGTTTCCCAACATGCAGGGCATGAGCTAGCTAGGCCCCCGAGGCAGGATGGTTGAAGAGAGGCGAGTTATTGCTCGCCGAGATACATGCACTAGTCAATTATCTGAATTCAGTCTCACGATTGTACGCGCGGTGATAAACAAAATAAGCAAGTTAGCTCTTCTTGGGCAATGCATAAGTAGGTATCAAGAAGAAGCTAGGGAAAAACATGTAGCGCGCTTTATCGTATTGTCTCCCGAAGCCGGAGATGGGTTGGCTAGATTTATGACGATCAATCAATGTAGCTGGTCACCTGATCCACGCAATCAGCTTGTTGAAACCTATTCGGTCAGGTCTAAAATTAGTGCACATCCCCACCGGCAAAAAGCCTACAGTACATTACTGCCTCAGGCCTTCTGGATATGCCGTTCCTAAGCATATATTTATTAGGCCAGATATTTTGAAAATCTACCAAGCCATAGCTATGGCTGGAGCCCCATTCCTGAGGGGACACAGTGACTAATGTAATCTACAATATCATATAATTTAGGAGGAGCCCGAATTCCTGGGACAAACTTGTCAAGCTATTGTGAGCGCTGTACAGCGTATCCCCCACATAAAATCTACTCTTCTTTATTTACATGGTGATCAAAATACCTAACAATTGTTCACACGGCGAACAACGTATCAAATGCTTCAACTATTTTGGCTTTTACAGCGTAATATACTTTTGAAACAGAAATATCCCACACGCCTGCAGTGCAACTCTTTTCGAGGTACCCGAGAGGAAAAAATTGAACACTTGTTGAAGTCACTTTCATGAACTTAGACATTAAATATCCTTGAGATCGTTTTAATGTTTAAAAAAAATACTGGCTCCAGTTAGAGTTAAGGATTGATGGCTTTCATGAATTCCAAATGATATCTTAGTCGAAAAGTTATGATTATTTTTATTACTTAAGTTTATTGTCATGTCTGAGTCTATGACTATGTAGGACATGAAGGTCCTCTCTGCCTACAGGCCAGGGATACATTTACCAGTAGTATATCTCCTCCTGTGCCTCCCATACAGCTCCTCTCAAATAGTACCACCCCTCACAAGTCCTCATTCGATCATACACTTAGAGGAGCCCTTAACCCTTCATTATCTCCTCTCTCCAGCCAACAAAACGATGGCTATTTGCGGGTGTATAGTAGTCGGCAAAAATCGCAAAAGCCACTGGGTGCGGTGCTCTCCGAATACCGACATTAGGACTAAATCCGAAAACATAGTAATCCTTCTGATGCGTTCGAAGAGGCTGGCCAGCTGGGCGCTGCAGACTTATGTGTACCTCGGGAAATTCACCCTCTGCCTTTCTAGCCTCATTCCAACTCCTTCCCGGAGGTCGTGCTGAAATGTCAGAAAAGTCTTGACAGGGCGTGATTGCTTTGTAACAGCTTATCCAAACTTCTTTTGTACCGTCCAGGGCTCTGAGGAGTGCTGTTGACTCATCGACAATAGAAGCCCTCCTGGCTAATCAGCCGAAGTCTCGACCTTGGCGCCCACAAACTTCCCAAAGTCGAAGCAGATCGAAAATGTCAGACCTATCATTCCAACAGGAGGTCTCTTCCTTCTTTCCTCACCCCATTCGCCTGTCCTTCCTCAAGATGTATAACCCCATTAGAGCACCAGTCCCCCGTAAGCCAAGAACCCAACTTTGTAAATTATGATTTAATTTTCTCGGGGGTATACGTAGCGTTGTAAATTTGTAGTGGGTGCTGGTCGGTAACAAACGAGGCAAGCTCCTCTTTGCAATTGGAGTAACGCCTTCATCGATCGTTAAGGCGAGGTGGTGCGTGGATAGGTTAAGGTAGAGGACTCTCGTGAGAATGACAAGACCGTCAGTGATGAGAAGTCGCCGACTATAGATGGGTCTGTATATGCTTTTAACTTCGATTCGGATGCGATTTTTCTTGGTTATCCCAGACATGCTGAGCATATTGAGCGATTAGACCAGCACCAATAGAAGGTGAAGACTTTGTCTTTGCCGACGTCTGTAAGTTAACCTGTAAACATTTCTCCACTATAACAAATTAAAGTAATACCCACCATCATTAAACTGAATCTCACGTATAAAACTTGACCTATTTGGAGAACACACTTCAACAATTGGCAAGTTTCGATGTGACGAAAGTAAGCTTTTTAAACCGTATTTGAAATAAAATTAAAATACCTTCAGCTCTAATACTGGTACGGGTAAAGGCCATTTGTTTTCCCTATTCAACTCTCCAGATTTGGCTACTGTAGCCTGCCCTATCGCATTCCTCGTCAGGTCAAGGTTATTGCAACGCAGTGACGCTTGATCATTCCTTACAAGGTAATGTTGAACCTTCCTCCTTTGATACTACGGTCAGATTGGCTTTACAGCGCGGTTAGAAGAGTATCATGCGTGTCACCCGTATACTTCGGCTGAATGCAATTATCAATTCATATGAAAATTTAAACCTACCACTCATTCACGAAATTCTTTGGCTATCTGTTAATTAAGATGCCAACGGGGAATAGAAAGATGAAACGGGGTCGGAAAGCATGAATTGGACAAGGGGGGTGCAGCACAAGGGTCTTCTGCGGCAGAATTAAGATTTCCGAAGTCGATATTAGCCTAGCCATTTGATGAGGAGGTGTTACGTCAGAGTAGCCCTGAGCGTAAGGGAGAAGAATTGGTTTGTATGGATTGAAGGTGTTGACGGCTAGAGCAAGAAGTGTTTCTTTGTAGTATTGTAGGACGGAGCTAAATATGTTATGTTGTATGAGAATTTATTGTCCTATGAAATCTATGACTGTGTAAAGATATGTAGGTCATTTCTTCATGTAGGCCAGGAGTATCTATGCCTCGGGTAGTGTTCCCTCCCCTATGCCTCCTTCATAACTTCTTTCCAGCAATGATACCCCCATAGATCTTTATTTGAGTACACACTAAGTGGAAGGGGGACTATTCTCAACACCTGTCAGTGGTGTCCCCTACGAATTCCCAGCTCTCACTGTAGAGTCTACAGAGGCGAGATTGAGTAATAAAGTCCTCACTTCGAAGAGGATTCCCAATCGCTTTCGCGATCTGTATAGTCTTCATCTCTCAACACATCCCCCTATCACCATTACCATGAAGCTAACCACGATCAGATCAGATGGTAGGGTCGGAGCCCTATTCATCACCAACACTTGATCATGGAGGAAAAGCCATACGATGAGTTTCCGGAGCGTACCCAGCACCCGATACGGAGATGGTGGATTGGATCAAGTCGGCCTCGACTGTTACAAAGAAGGGAGATATAGATGAATATGCGCACCTCATGTGGCCCCAGTGTCTAGGCCCCGCCTGACTGGGGCTGCAGGTTTTTTGAGACTTTTTCCCGCGCACGCAGTTTCCATTGCTACCTTTTTTTTTTTTTTTGGGTAGAAGATTCCGTGGAAAAAGTGGCCGAATTCCAGGGATAAAAACTGAGCTGAATAGCTATTCATCAAGGGGAATATATCAATGGTATTTCAAGTAACAAAAGAGGATAGGAGCACTGTACAAGGTGTGGCCTGGGTCAGAGAGGAGCTCA